AAAACATTTAATACACATGTTAATCGTAGTGTCAATATGAATAGAATATATATTATATATAGAAAACACTAAGGCTAATGCGGCGGGGTTTCTTCTTCCATACCACTGTTTCCGGGTTCAATTCTTGGTTAGTGTAATTTATGACAAAAAACAAGAACATGAACTTAAAACGGTGATAATAAAACCTTTAAAATAAATAACAGAACCCACTGACACAAATTTCTACAGTTCCGAGTTTTTTCATTTTTAAATCAACTTCCACAATTTTATTCAAACTGATAATTACAATTAATAATATAATTATAAACTTAAAAATGGATTAACACATATTTCGACTTTTATAATATTTTGTTTTTGTTTAAATACTCAATTAAAATTGTTCTGATTTTCCTAAAATTATATAATTGGTTTATAACAAAAACACAATTTTTTTCGATTTAGTTATATAATTAATGAAAAATAATTATTTAATTTAAACGTATGTCACTAAAACATTGGAAACTTGTTTATAATATTAAAAAGGCCCCGTAGCACAGTCGGTAGTGCATCGTACTTATAGAATAGAGTTATGCGAGGGTCGCGGGTTCGATCCCCGCCGGGACCATTTTTTAATCATCGATATATTAATCTGTTGAAAATCTCAATTCAAAATTATTTAATTCTTTAAAGTATAAACAGATAGTAAGTATATTTTGAACAATTACAATTTAATATCAGGACAAAGTTTTGTAATAAAAACAATAATAGTAATAATAATTTAAAATATTAATTGATTAACAACTGTTTTTTGTTGATAACTGTTTAAAACTTGATTACAACTAATCTTGTATCGAGTATTACACGAAATAATCCATTGATTTTGTTTTATTTATGATTCAAATTATGTGATATAAAGTGTTGTTATTAATTTTTAAAAATAAGAAGCATTTGTGGTCTAAGGGCAGAATTCCACCCTTCCAAGGTGGAGATCCGGGTTCGAGTCCCGGCAAATGCATTTTTACTTTATCAAAATGTCTTTTATTAACGAGAATTGGATAATGACAATAAAAACGACAACGGCAGGATTTGAACCTACGCCTCAAATGAGAAATGATTTCGAGTCATACGCCTTGGACCACTCGGCCACGTTGTCTCCTTGATATTAGTTTTTTTAGTTATTTATAATATTTTATTTTCATCTAAACTGTATGCCAAAAGTCGGTACTTTACCAATTATTAGTGGAAACCCTTTTATAATAAATTCCCGTTTTTTAAAGTTTTTTTGTTGTTTTCATTTATAATTTCCATTTGAAAAAAAGAAAAAACAGTACCGACTTTTTAACCCTCAAAACCAATACAGTTATAAATTTCAATTAAAATTTCGGGATTTTAACAAAAAATTAGAACAAACTTGTCCGATTTTCTGAGACTGTTATTCAGTCTTTTTCACTGTTGAGATTCTCAAAAAATCGGCATTTTTGCCTTTTGGTAATGGACGAGTAGTTTGAATGGGTGAGATAACCGTATTTTACCTCTCACATTACGACTCTCCCCCACTTCAAAATACACAATAAATCGTTCTAACTTGTTGTTATTTTATGGTTGTCTCTTTAAAAAAAACAAACTTTGAAACACTACACATATTAAATGGTTATTTTTATTTTCAATAATCTTTTCTTTGTGTTGTAAGTGTTAATGAAATTGAAAGATTTTTATTATTTGTTGGATCATTAACATTTTCTTTTGAAAAGAGAAAAAGTCGGTTTTACTCACGGCAAAAACAACCATATGGTCAAGCAAAATTTTTGAAGAAGTAAGTTATTTGATATTTTCCTTGTTATTTTTTATTTAATTTTTTAGCTTGGTCTAAATTCAAGGTTCAGTCAAGTTTGTTTTTTAAAAAATAAGAGGGAAAAAAATAAGCAAAAAAACGATGTCAAACAAAATGAAAAATATTTGGAATCATTTACTTCAAAAAGTCGGGTCCTTTCGGTACCGACTTTTGAAAAACAGTTTATTATAGACTTTTTGGTAATTTATCTTTAATAATCAAAATAAAAACTTAATTAAAAATCTACCATTTTGTATTTGGATAATATATGTTTTTTATTTTATTTAACCTTGAGTATGTGCAGCATAATAAGTATAATTCAAATTAGACAACACTTTTTTTTAAAAAAAACTTATGTTATTAATAAAAACTGATTTCGTTTTTAAGGAAGTGTAAAATTATTTAATTGGTATGTTTTTACGAAAAATATACATAAATATGTGCTGTTTTATTTTGCTTCCAAAATATTTTATTAAATAAATAACAAGATTTAAATATTGAAGATTTTATTTTAAAACACTGGATTTTTATAAATTTTTTAAATTGTTTAATATCTAATAAATGGACAATTGGACCTTCTTATTAAATTGCATACAATTCAAAAGGTGTTTTGATTGAAAACGTCAATTTGTCAACTTATGATTGTGCAATTTCATTTTATCTTTTTAAATGAAAAAACAATCTAGTTTCCGTTTTAATAACAAAAAAGTTTTTAGTAACCTTCTATCCATAATTCCTCATTATTTTTTATTGGGAAAAGATCTGGATAATTTAGTTAATATTACAACAATATGGTGATTTCAAAACGTGTTGTTGAAAATTATATTGTGTTTGTGTGTTTAATAAATAAAACTCTTAATTCGACAGTTTTAATAAACAATACTTTTACTTGATTTCAGGTTGTGTTATATTAAACTTTATTATTGTTATAATGTTAAATTGGTTTGGGTTTATCTAATTAATTTATGCCCACTGTTTCAACATATAAAAAAGAGAAAATAAACAAAAATATTTTGTGTTGTTTTGTTTTAAAAGTATAGGCATTTTTTATTTGTGTTTACTATAATTATTAATTATTTTTGTCTATTTTTGTTCTTGTATTAATCAACAAAAAGTCAAAAAACCTAAAAATGTTCAATTTTAGGTATAAATTATTTAGAATTCATTTTTGATAAATTGATTAAATATTAAAAAATAAACCATTTCAGAATTTCTTTTTTCAGTATATAATCATCAAAAATTGAATTGATATCCCATTAATAACAGGTCAATCAAAAAATACAAGTATGTTATTTTTGTGCTAAGAAGTTAGCAAAAACTTCTATTTTAAAACTTTGTTGTTTGATATTTGTTTTTATGGCTGACTTTTAAGTAATTTTTGGTTGACCTTGTTTTAAAAATCGTTGTTTAACATCAACAAAATATACAACACTTTAATTAAGTATGACTGTTGTAAAACAAAAATATTTTATAAAGATTAATGTGTATGTAACTAATGATTATAAAAATTGATCAATTTAAATAATATAGTATTTATTAATTAACTTATTGAATTATTAGTATAAATAAAGTAATAATTATTTTATAATAATTAAGTAATTAAATTGTTATGGATTAAGGGACGACAAGAATAATTACTAGTGCAAAGCTTTATCACAAAAGATCACTGAAATTTATACCAAAACAGTTATTGGCAAAGGCACTTTGTTGTAATTATAATGATGATTTAGCAAACATAAAAGACAACGAAATCAAAATCAAACAAATCATTTAGTCAGTTATCTGATCAATACAATTAAATTAAATGATCAAAACTTTAAAAGAAACACTTAGAGGCAACCAAGTTCAAACAACAAATTTGAACTTGGTACATCTTTCAAGTTACCAACAATTTGCAAAAAATGTTCAAAGCAGCTTGTCTCTTAATTATCCACCAGTAATTTGAATTATTCTCCATGTGAAAGTGTCAAAGTGAAAACATAATTAGAACCATCACAGCCATTACTTTAGTGTATTACATGTATAATTTCAGGTTTTGATTACAAGTAAAAGCGTCTTGACATTATTATTGAATTTTTTGTTCAGCTCGATATTATTATGAATTATCATAATAAATATAGAAACCAATAATAAATAGTAATTTATAATAGAATATAGTTATATCAATTAAGACAGACTTTTTACGAGAGATTTAAATTATAATAATTGAAGTCTTATTATAATTATAATTAAATAATAATAATACTTCTTTAAAACTTCGTTTGAAGAAGTACTTGTATTTAAATTAACCAATTTTGATAGAGTTATTTATACAATATTTTTTTTTAATTTCATTGATCAATAGAACAAAGTTGGTATTTTTGTTTTTTAAACATTTTTGTACGCACTGATTGTTTTGAAAAATCTTGATTTCGTTTATCATAAAGATGCTCGTTTTATTTCAATTTAATTATAGTAAACAAAATTAATATAAATAACAAAAGGTTCCTTTTGGAAAAGTGGATAAAATATTTTTAAAAACAAATTGTTGCATAATAATCGATAATTATTTAAACTTTTTGTTATAGTTTCACATTTAATTTTATTATTTTTTATATTTAAAAATATAAATGTTTTCTTTGATTACAATTGTTATGAATTAGAGTTACTTATAAATAACTCTATTAACTCTACTAACAAAATAAAAAGAATGAAAAAGACACGAATTACAGCATAACAGCTTCTCTGTGTTCCTTAAACGATCTTTCGAAAGTTTTACAGCTTTGGAGTTTGATTTAATACACCTTAGACACAAATTTAAGGTGTCTTTAAATTCTGGGAAAGTTGTTATATTGAATGTGGTTTTACTTTTAATAGATTAAAATTACTTTCAACGTTTTTGATTCCTAAAGTTTGTATCCATTCGGGAAATATCCCAATGACACTCTGAATGACATAAATAAACATACGCCTCCATTGAGTTCTTTGCTGTCTCAAGTCTTCTTTTAATCGTAATTAAATCGCGTTTTCAAGTTTTTGTTATTGAGTGGGAGTGACATCAAAAGGAGTACTATTTTATTTCCAAATTGTATTTTGGGTACATACATCTATAAGTTCGCAGCAACATAGAAATTGACTTCAGTCTGATTTTCACCTTCTCTTTCACAAATTCGCCAAACTTGTCTGTCGTACAAGAGAAGACCAACGTATTTTAATACCCACCAAACTGCTTAACAACTTTTTGAACAGAGTCGACAAAAGACATCTTTCCCCAAACACACTGTTGTTTTCCACTCAACTTCTTTTTCAAACACTTCACGCTGTCGTTATGTGCAAAGAATACTCCTGACATGTAGGTGAGAATGAGCGAAATTTGTTTCACTCTGGTTTTATTCCCTTTTGGTTGTTTGCTCAATGTCAATACGGCAAGTTTGGCAATTTCCTTGTTGATCTCCAAGAAGTAGTACTTTGATTCGTTGTAATTTAACCCGAGATTTGACGCTTCTCCAACTTCTTGCATTAATCTGACTGCTGTGAGTCCATCAACCAGACATTGACAACCAACTGTTTCCTACATTCGGACTCGGGACTGGGGGACATGGACTGGGGGACACAGGGCCCTTTTGTTGACTTGAATCCAAGTCATCTGTTTGATTATACATTGTTATATGATATAATATTATATGTCTTAAAATAAAGTAGAAAAAACAATCTTGCATTTCATTGTGATTGAATATGAAATTTGTGTTTAAATATTAAATTGTTCGTTATTTTTTAATCATTGTGTTTCTTTACGATAAAAATACGATAGGTTATTAATACAAGGTTGAAATACAAACACGTTCGATCTTTTATGCTTTTTTGACTTTTTTAGGGTTTATAATTTATTGAATGCACATAAATTGTCTGTATTTTCTATTCAAAAACTAACTCCAAACAACCTTTAATAATAATCGTATTTTTCATTTTTTTTTCACATCTACAACCAATACTACGATGTATAATTATTTTAATTAATTAATTTTTATTTCAAACTGTAAATATAACAGCCAATTTTTTAAATAAAATACAAACAAATTGTTTATTTAAATAAACCATG